TCCTATGCAGATGCCCTCCTTGTCCAGCTTGGGCTCCGACCCCTGTGTGGGGCAGGTCTCCTATGCAGATGCCCTCCTTGTCCAGCTTGGGCTCCAACCCCTGTGTGGGGCAGCTCTCCTATGCAGATGCCCTTCTTGTCCAGCTTGGGCTCTGACCCCCTTTTGGACAGGTGTCCTATGCAGATGCCCTCCTCATCCTCCTTGGGCTCTGACCCCATTTTGGACAGGCTGCCTATGCAGATGCACTCCTCAATCTTCTTGGGCTCTGACCCCGTTTTGGACAGGCCTCCTATGCAGATGCCCTCCTCATCCTCCTTGGGGCTCTGAACATGAAAAATTTCATTTTACTGCTGATCAGGTTGATAACTGGACAGTCTATTCATGTTTATTTATCGATGTCCCAGCTTGGGTTTGGCAGCCCCACTGTGGGCCAGATGCAGTAGGTCAGACGTGTGCACAGAACTCAGGGCCCCCTGTGATCTTCATTGTTCTTTTCTAGAATTGTGGTAATCTGGACACAGTGGAATGATTCTAGGCTGGAATATTTTAATACAGGGCATTGCCTCTGTCCATAGTGCCTTTGGTTCTTAGATTTAAAAAAAAAAAAACTGTTTATTGAAGTATATACTGAAAGGGTAAGTTTTGAACTATGAACAGTGATCCTAAGGGTCTGTTTCAAACTACAAACAGTAGTTATAATTACTTCCCAGCTCAAGAAGTAAAATATTGTCAGTACCCTAGACATGCCCTTTCCCAGTCACTCCTTGTTAGATGTCATAAACTGCATTCTTTAAAATTGCATGCTCCAATTAATGGCATACTGAATAAATTACTGCTTCAGTAAATATACATGATTGATTATTTTGAAAAACGGTATTTGTGAAGTTAATGATAGGAATAATACATTTTTTGGAGCTCCATCGTTAGGTTGAGGAGATTGGGAGCCGTCAGTCACTAGAGGGCAGCCTATACCGCTTCCACTTCTTCAGAAACCGTTGTAGTCTCTGTTAGTGACTGAGAAGTATCTTCATGGAAGGAAATAAATGTTGCTTCAGTGAAGGAGATATTTTATTATTTGCAGATAGGAAGAAAACAAAGTAATTATGTTTTCCTATAATTAAATTCCAAGAAAAATTTCTTGGTTAAATCACTCTCAACATCTCTGCTGCTTATGTCACCCCAGCAAAGAATCCAAATTTGAAGGATTTGGAAAGCTTTTTGAATTGAAACAAGTTTCAGATAATTTATCCATACTTCCCCTAATCCTCCATATTCTTTACTGTAGATTTTCCGCAAGTGTCATAGGCTAGGAACTAGACCCTGGAGCTAAATCAAAGGGGGGAAAAAGCCACAATTCAGAATCCAACAGCTGGGGCATTTTCATCCACTGATTTCATTTGGCATTGTTTAGTGGCACTTCCTTTGAATAATATTAGAGGAAGTATGAAAGACAAAACTTGGTCTTCTTTTATTTCAGTACTTTAATAACATTTTCCTTGTTCCATTATGGTTTTGTGTAAATCTTTTCTCACTAGATTGATAAACTTTCTAATCCCTGCATATCTCTAGATAGATAAACCTATCTCCATATGCTTCTGAGCTGTTTTATTTCTAGTAGCATAAAGTGATGGTTTCTACCCCTCAGCCCCCACCTCCATGTACTACAGCTTTGGCTTCTCATTCTCCTAACTTTTTACCACAATTTGATGTTATTTCTTCCTTTCTTTAGACAGAGACATCGGGATTTACCAGTATTACGACAAGAAAGATCCGCCAGGTAAATGATGCCTATTCCACTGAGCTAATTTTTATAAATGAAGTATTCTAAACTAGGAAATACCATTAGAAATTGTTTTTATGAGCTTTAGATAAATTCTAGAATTCCAAGAAAAGTCACTTCAATTCTTTAGGAAAATGCTGAGTTTAATATCTGTTCTGTATAAAGTAAGGCAATATTGAGAAAACGCTGTAGAAGAACATGAAAAATTTCATTTTACTGCTGATCAGGTTGATAACTGGACAGTCTATTCATGTTTATTTATCGATGTCCCAGTAGAGGGCATTGTTAATGCATGGGTCCCACTGATGCCGGCCTGCTACATCCTCACCTGATATCTGAAATAGGCATTTCTGAGTGAATGATCAATTTTCTTTATCTGATTGATCCTATTAATCCTAGAAGTTTCATGATGGGCCAAAAGGTCCTTCTAGCTAGAGTTACTTCCTGTTTTGGTCTTTGTTCAAGTGGGGCTTGTGTGGGCATCCTGTGTGCTTAGCTTGGTGGTTAATAGGCTGACTTTATGGTTCTGATGATAGACTGAAGCAGCTTTCTCTTCTGGGCTCGGTTGCAGTTCCTTTCCCTATCTGATGAGATTGGAAGCTTAGAATATTGGCCCACCTGTTGAGCTACATAAGCCTTTCACTGCAAATTTAGGAAATATCTCTATGAAATGAAAACATCCAAATTAGGGCAAGTTTTTCAACTGTCCTTTTAAAAATTTAGCATAATTTATCAATCTCAATCTATGTGTAATAATAAATTATATATGTTAATATTAAAAATACAAGGTATTATAAATAAATTATAAATAAAAATAAATTCCACTTTTTTTCATTTTTTCCTTCTCTCCTCCACCACAATATCAGTGACAGAACATGGTAACTTAGAAGAAAAGCAGAAGCTGGCAGAATGTAAGCTTAGTTGGCATTTTTTTGTAATTATTATAAAACTGTAATTTTAATATCCCTGAAGGTTGAGTCTTAACATTCTTCTTTCTGTACAAATAGGCAACCTTATTCTCACCAAATTTCTTATAATTGCAAAACCCGTTGTTTAAGTACATAAGCATAGTAAGTTTATATTTGTTAGGCCTTTCTAATTTAGACTATGTAACTTCTCTATTCTGTTTTGGTCAGATATAGGCGTATGTAAACATAAGCTCTCTTAATGATCTATATTTATATTATTTAATATATTTAAAATAAATATACCATACTTAAGTTCTGATAACATTTTATAGTTTAAACTTTGCCTAAATTATTAAAACAGTTTACCCATTTTAAGAAAACAAGATTTTTAATTATTAGTATTAGCATTTTATTTCTTCTAGTGTTTTCTGTTCCCAAATATATAAATATATTACATGTGTAATATGGTTACAATGTAATGTGGTTTTAATGAACTTAAAATTAGATATAAGTAAGACTTTATTTGGAACATAGTTGGAGCTGAAATTACCACTTTTTCTGTTGTTTTAAATGGTCAAGCTGACATGTTTAATTTTTAAAAATACTGTATTGTAGGTGTAAAACTAGATTTTAAAATTTGCGTATATGCTATAATGTAAATTATGCTTATAGAATCAAATTAGTTGCTGAAATAAGATGCATAGCAATTCTACTGTCAAATTTAAATGCTGTATGTATTATATATGTACACATGCAATATATATGTATATGTTTGTACACATGTATATATATGTACACAGACACAACTCTTATTTGGAATTATTAAGAGAATCCAAAAATGAATTCATTTTTATGGTGAAACATATCATTATAATGAGTTTAACATTTTATTAATTCTTTTAAACAGAACTGTTTTTAGTTTGTTTTAGGGTAACATTGAGAATATACCTCCTTCTCACTTATCAACTATCTCGTTATCCGACATTTCACATTTACGACAATTGTAAAAAATATACTAGTTGATTATTTTGCGTATTTGTACACCTGACAGTAACAAATACTGAAGTGGGAGGCGAGGGTATCACTGGCTGTGGTGGTTAAGGTTATGTGTCCACTTGGCTGGGCCATGATTCTCAGGGGTTTCGTAGTTATGTAATGATGTAATTTGGCAGTTATATAATGAGTAGTCATCCTCCGTTTTGTGATCTGATGTGGTCATCCTCCATTTTTGCATAACGCCAATTTTCACATAACAACTTAGTCTTTGGAACCTAAACATGTAGATAAGCGAGGGGTGGTTGTATACTAAATAATTTTATTTTTCAGTTAAATTCATTTAAAACAAAACAAAGGCTTATCATTATTGAATTGTGGTGTAGATTTTAGAGAGGAGTATTTAAATACAAAAGAGCACTATTAGCGCCTGATTTGTTAAAACTTCAATTTCCCTTATATATTTTTTTAATGTATAAGTTAGATGCATAATTTAAAATTCTTCTGTGTGTCATTTTTGTATATTATTTCTTTCTTCATTATACTCAATTACTCCTGAGAATTCCAAGGTCTGAGAAGGCCACTTGCAAAATTTGGGCTTTCTTCTGGATTGAAAGTTGACTTATTTACATCAAATAGTTATTTCTGTGGTATAGAGTAGTGATTTACTATTATGTACTAGAGCCACAGGCCTAGGAAACTTTTCCAGGGAATCTCTGAGCCCTGCTGGTTGTCAGCATTAAATGATGATCAGGGAGATTGTTTTGTGGTAAAAATCCTGTTCCTGTGACAAAGCCTTTCAAAAGGCTGTCATTTGATGATAGAAATGAAGCCCACTTCCTCTCAATTATGAAGGTGTTTTATTTTAATCTTCCAAAGCCACACTGCTAAGTAGAGTTTCCTTTTTCAGTCGTGTTTAACTAACTGTAATACATGTTTTATTTGCCAGCACGAGATTATCCTTGGACGCTCAAAAACAGGCGCCCAGAAAAGCTTCGAGATTCACTCAAGGAGTTGGAGGTATCTTTTAAAAAGTTTCCCCAAAAAAGCAACAAACAAGTCTGTTTTAAAGCATCTTTCACCAGCTTTAATTTTCATAAAGGATCAACTCTCATGGTGACGATAGCTTTGCTTTTGTCTGGTGAGGAGTTCCAAAACAGTTGCATCTTTGTGTGCTGATCTTTTTTTTTTTTTTGCTTGCAAATTAGAAGCACTTTAACTGATAATGATAATGTGTATAGCCAACTGCACTCTCTCTTTTTCTGTTGTCCTTCAGGAGCTGATGCAAAACAGTCAGTGTGTGCTGAGCAAATGGAAGAACAAATATGTCTGTCAGGTAAAATGGTTTGACGTGCTTTTGCAGTGTTTAACCAATGGAGCTGAAAACTATGCAGTAATTGGTGTTCTTTTGTTATGATAGGTAATGGAAAGAAACTTTTTAGGAGCAGATATTTCATAGTTTGAATTCTAGTCATTCTAGAACTAACATTAGACAATCCGACTGACACAGGCTACCTCATTAATCAGTATAGTTGTACTGGCACACTATGAACACTAATAAAAATCTTTTCAGATGGTATTTTTTGTTTGAATGTTGTCTGAAAGTTGTATCAGGTGTTTACTGGGATAGAGTTAATCATATTTTTGAATGAAGATGAAACCACAGGACAGAAGATGGTGTGGCATACCACTTTAGTGTTTGGGAATACCATGCTTACAGAAATCAGCAAGCAGACTAGAGTTAGATCTAACATGACAAGACATTTGGTCTTAGTTTTTGAACCCTCTAACCCTATGCTGTTTAATACTGTAGCCACTAGTCATATGTGGCTATTTAAATAAAAATTTAAATTAAATAAAATGAAAGAAAAGTTTTAAAAAGACAAGAACATATAAACAAAAAAGAAAACATTTTTTAAACTAAATAAAATGAAAAACTCAGTGTCTCAGTTGCACTACTCACATTTTAAGTTTTCAGTAGCTACAATGTGATAGTATTGGACTGTGCAAATAGAACTTATCTATCATATGGAACATTTCCATCATAGCATGTTCTACTGGAGAGCACTACTAGACAGAGTGAGCTAAATGTTGAATGGGCCTTGATTCAGAATATAATAAGGACCTAATTATCGTCCGTTGATCACAACATAATGGATAAATGCCTCAGCTTTGCTGATAGGTTTAAAATACACTATTTGCCTAGAAAGATTTCATTTGCTTATGATAAAAAGAATAATCATAAGTTATAGTCTATTCATCAGGTCCCTGGGTGGTGCAAATGGTTTGCATTTGACTACTAACCTAAAGGTTGGTGGTTCAAACCTACCCGGTGGCATCGTATAAGAAAGGCTTGGCGATCTGCTTCCATAAAAGATTACAGCTGAGAAAACCCCGTGGAGCAGTTCTACTTTGTACAATGGGATTGTCATGAGTCGGAATCAACTTGATGGCAACTGGTTGTTTTGTTTGTTTTATATTCTATTCATCAGTGTAATTGGAGTTGTGTTAGTACTACTAATAATTATTACAGTTTTCTGGAATTAAATTTCCTGTCTCAATTTAAATTTTTATTTGTTTACAATGTGGCTTATTTTAGATCTAACCATTCTTGTTTGAACCTTAGGCTAGCGGCTCTATCCATAAATCTACAATGTCAGGTTTGTAGTAATTACAAGAATATCTCCATCTACCATTTGAATATAGACAATCATTTTAGTGGATTCTGTTTTTTCCTCAGGAGTCCCTGGGTGGCACAAATGGTTAAGCACTTGGCTACTAGCCAAAAGGTTGGCAGTTCGAATCCATCCAGAGGTGCCTCAGAAGAAAGACCTGATGATCTACTTCAGAAAGATCACAGCCATTGAAATCCCTCTGCAGCGCAGTTTTGACTCTGAAACACATGGTGTCACTCTGAGTCGGAATTGACTCGATGGCAACTGGCAGTTTTTCCTCATTTTTTGTTGAAACTAGTCTTACTTTACTCAGAGAGGTAACTACTTAGTTACCTCCTCAACTGGCACAAAATCATTATTTTCCAGAGACTATTTATAAGGCTGAATTAATATTTTTAGAACCATACTACTTCTTAAATTCACCTTAGACACCATTCAAAAGATAGGATTATAAAAAATTCATAAATTGTTTGCATAAAAGTAAGTTTTAAACTTTAAAAGGTTAATACAAAATAAGCTTCAGAAAGTTTCAAATATAGTGCAGCTCAAATTGTAGTTTTAATGCCATTAATCACCTTAAAAACAGGCTCAAAATTATTTGACTGGAGGGCAAGCCTGCCACCCATAGTAAGGGGTGTGTCTCATGGCCTCCACCCTTACCATCACACAGGGTAAGTTGGAACATGTCAAACCTCTCAAAATATGTAGCTGAGCATCCCAATAGGCAATCCTTTTTAGATAGACTTTATTGCATTTTTATTTAATAAGCAAGCATTTTGGGGGACAGTGTGGAGAGGGATGTCCCTTACTATTGAATTAACTCAGAAAAGGAATTTTTATGATATATTCTAAGACTTTTATAATTTACAGCAACCTGATTATACTGATTTCTTAAGCTTGTGTATCAGTGAGTCTGCTTTTAACATTTCCAGTGGAACTTATTTCTGTTTATGATATGTCATATCTTGTATTCTATTTCTCTGAACAATAAGATGTTCCTGAAATAGACTTTTCACTACCAGCACATTTGTACTCTGATATATTTTAACAAGATACCTTGACCTCCACCCACAGGTCCATCTGAGCCCCCACTTCACATCATAGAGACACTGAGAAACGCATAGGACCTTTCAGAGACCTAACATTATCTACCTGCTTCCTCAGTTTCTTGACAGGAGTGTTAGCTAGATCTTCTAAAAATATTTTGTGCGTTGTATTCTTGTAGATCTTTCTAAAAATTTAGCTCGAGCTTCATGTTTTCAGCTTTGAATGGCAGTAGTTGACCATACATAATGTTCTGTAACTCTTAGGAAAGAAGTGAAAAAGTTCCTCAGCACCTCAGTGCTAACACATTTGCTCTCTCAGTTTTTAAATTTGGCCACTCCACAACCAACATAAATATTTCAACCCTAAAGAAATGGCAAATTTAGGACTTGTGGAATTTATTTTAGTTGTCTTCTCTTTAAGGGATCTTTATTTCTACAAAAGGTCCAGTTGTTTAGACATTAGCGAGGCAAGTGCAACAATGTAAAGAGTTTCAGGAGATAAAATCTGAACCTGGATCTCCCCTCAGTTGAATAATGAATACTTATAGGTCGTCATCATTACCAAAGCTTAGTTAATGTTGTTGATCTAATGACCTGTAAATTGTCCATTTTAAAAATAATTCCCTCCACTTGTAAATTCAGAACAGTTTACAAATAAAGATTTATCTATTTATATGTTTGGGGAAAAATTGTCTTTTGAAATCGACTATGGCTACACCTCGTTTGAGATGCATTAAAAGGTACGAAAGGTAATTTAGAATTTTAGTTTTACTAGCTATTCAGTATATTTCTCACTTCGTTTCGTCTCCTAAAATTATTTTATTAACAGAAAGGGTTTAATCATCTCCTGCTTTGAATTTCTTAACTCATTTTACAAACTGTTCTTACAGAATAGTAGCTTCAGCCTTAAAATACTGTTCGTTTGTTCACCACTGTGGTGGAATTCATAAATTCCTGAAAGTATCGTGTTTCAAGTCAGATTCTTATTTGCAGATTATTACATAATTAAAAACAATATTATCGTTAAGCATAAATACAACTTTATATATGTTGATTTTAGATTGTATTATTTGAATCATGTATGTATATTTAGGAGCCCTGGTGGTGCAGTGGTTGAGGATCTGGCTGCTAACCAAAAGCAGGCAGTTTGAATCCACCAGCTGTTCCTTGGAAACCCAGTGGGGCAGTTCTACCTCTGTCCTGTAGGATTGCTATGAGTCGGAGTTGACTCAATGGCAACGGGTTTGGGTTTTTTTTATGTATATTTAACTGTAAAAATATAACATAGTTGGTTTCACTTTGGTTTCTTTCTATAACAATTCTACATTTCCAGGCACAGTTTTTAAATGCCAAGAAAAGACAGTTTCCTATTTTAATTCCTGTAATGAATTACTTGACAAGCTATGCAAAGATATAAATTATCTTCCAGGTCTATCACAGATAAATTGTGACCGTATGGAACTTATATTATTGCAACTTTCTAAATCGTAAAAATGAATAGCCTCATTACCTGATCTTTCTTTTCATCAAATTCTGTGAAAATCAATATGATTTCCTCAGAAAATAATAATAGACAAACCATGAGTTTATGGTAGAACTATTAATACTAGCATATTGTCTATACAGTATTTATTGACTGCTCACCAGGGAGGCACTGTGCAAGTCACTAAGGGAGAGTAAGGCATGGGCTGAGGCCCCAGCATAACATAGTCAAGGAGAATAGACACATGAAATCACTAGGACACTAATGAATGCTAAGCAGTATGGCACCAAGTAAAAAGACAGTAGGAGTTTAGAGAAAGCAGAGATCAATGTAATCTGCAACAGTTAAGAAAAATTTTGTGGAGAAGTTATAACTTTACTTAGACCTTAAAGGACACATAAAATTTGGTTAAGCTAAATGGAAAGGTATTCCAGAAAAAAGGAATTAGATTAACTGAGGTATTCAAATGAGAATTAAATGGGGGTGTCTATATGGTCATGAGGAGATGGGCCTATTTGGGGACAAATGGTTCCTGTTGAACAACCAAGTGCTAAGTTCGAAAGGTAACTTGAAGCCTCGTTTTTAAGGGCTTTGAGTATTATACTAGGTATTGATACTTTAATCCTATAACATTATCAACATTTTTAGAGCAGACAAGTGCTTTATAAAAATTAGACTTATGGAAGAATTAGCAGTGGGATGTAGGATAAAACATGAGAACCAGGGGCAGTGAAATCATTCCAAAGGATAAGTATGATGAGGCTAAGGTACAGAGAATGTTGAAAGCCAGCAAAGAAATTTAGAATGGTAGGTAGAAATTTTAGTTTTGGCCATGTTACATGTGAAGCAACCAAACAATCAAATAATTAGTGGAAATATGGAACTGGAGTGAAAGGTTGGAGCTGATAATCTTAAACCATTGAGTGGATGGCCTTATGAGGGCAGCCAAGGATTCTCTCATTTTGGTGACAAGAGAGGAGAATTGAGCCAGCAAAAGAAACAGGAATATCAGAGTAATGAGGAATTGTAGAGATGTTTGTTTCCCTAAAGATCAGAGGGTTGGGAAGTCAGGGGGTTCTGAAGATAGGCTTGAAGCATACTTTGTTCCCTGTTTTAATATTTAACAACTTGT